AACTGCTTTCCAGGCCTGTGGTTGGTCCACATAGAGAGACGATACGTACATGTTTACCTGATTTCATGGCAAGGTTCAAAGCCATTCTGAGTTGATGGTTTCTGCCTCGCTGAGTCTACAACATGTAAAAGATAATCTCATTGATCTCTTCTTGTATTGTTTTCCCTTTATAACTTTTCTAGGCTGAAGACTGCTAGAATCTGGGTTGTAATAGCTAATCACGATCAGGGTGTAGAAGCCCAATGAGGAGGACAGGGTGGCTACCCCTTTGCAGTCTCCCCCTCCACCTCCTGAATTCTCTGCAGTGTGTTTCTCAGTTCAGCTTTACGGTACAGAGAAATGAGTGGAACCAGCTTGGTGAACAAGGTCACCCAACAGCATCACGAGATGATGACATCACTGTCAGCTCCTGCCCAGGAAAAACCCAGGGCTCAAATAACCGAGGGAAAGGGCAGGTCATCTTCATGGCAAGTTGACAGAGCAGGGTGCAGGCTGCCATCAAATGCCAGGCCTGGGAGTGTTGCTAAAAATGACCAGGGCCACACCTGCCTCAGCTCAGTTTGCAGTGGGGAGCTTTGCTGCCCTCGCTTGTCCGGGACAACAGAATATCACCAACAGGTTCAGTTGTTGGTTTGTTGTTTTTTTTTCTTCCCATTTCCTAGAAGAAAGGTTACCAACTGCCAGAATCAAAATAGAATTGTGAATCGTGTCACAGGAATCCTGTCCAACCCAAGCACACTCAATGTGTAACGGCCTTGAGGGGATAGAGCAGATCAACAGAATCTCAAAGTTATCACTTTGTTGGGACTGACATCTCCTAAGACCTCTGCTTGGCCTCCCTCCCCAGGCTAGCTGTGTTTGGTGGCAAGTGAGTTGTTTTTTTAGTGCCCTGGAGGGACACTGTTACTTAGAAGAGCCTGATGCAAAAATCCTCATATCAGGAATCCCTTTGTGAAAGTAAGTAGTTGTCCCCAGCTGTAGCCATTTCTCACGTTCATGGTTTTATATCTTTATTTTTATCCTTAGCTTAAATTTTTAATCATTCCTAATGGTTTAACATAGTTTTCCAGGTAGTAGTGAAATAGCCATGATAACTTTCCTGAAGAACAAGTAAAAACTAACAAAACATTCAGTGCTTTACATGATTTGTCTCTGCTATATGTTATGAATATTATGTCTGAAAACTAAAAAACACATGAAATTTACTATCTTTTGAAGTGTATAGTTCAAGTGTTAAGTAGATTCACATTTTGTGCAACAGACATTAAGCGCTCTTAAAGCAAAGTGGGATGTCTTCATCGATAATTAGAGACATCCCTATTTGCCACGTCCTTCTCCCGTAATACTTGATTACTATGCCTAAATAGACTTTTCAAGCGTTCAAAGCTTTGGAAAGTAACCCTAAAGAAAGTCCATGAGCGATACTTAAATCCGGGGAGCACTTAGAGGAGGCTGGGAAACTATCTCATCCTTTATGTATTGCAGTCCAAACTCAGGAGGAGAGTTGGCTTTGAGGCTGTCTGATGAGAGTCATGGGTTAGGCATTTGGATCATGTCATCCCTGCTTCAAGCCTCAGTGGCTTCCCATCTCACCAGAGTGAACTCTAGCCGCCTGACCCATCCCTTCCCTCCCGGTCCTTCCCTGCCCACCTCTCTGACCTCATCTCCTTCTACCCAGCCACACTGGCCTTCTTGCTGGCCCATCACATGTCAAACTCATTCTCTGCTAGACCTTTGTATTTACTCCTATTGCTTTCTAGACAATCTTTTCACCTAGTGCTGAGCAATGGAAATACTATGAAGCATAGAACTTTCTCAGTGCTCAGGCCAGTCCAATACCAATTAAGTCATAATCTCCAGGACCTTAAAAATCAGTATTTCAATGCAAGATAACTCTCCAGGTCTTTGTGTCCTAGGTGAGAGATTCTCAGAACATGGTCCCCTGGAAACTTGTTAGAAAGGCAGTTTCTTAGACCTCACCCTAAACTTACTTAAAGTAGAACTTAGGACTGTGGTATTTTTACAAATTCTCCAGGTATTTCAGATGCCTGCCTAAGTTTAAAAACCATTGCCCTGGGCCTCCCCTGGTGGTGCAGCGGTTGAGCGCTGGGTTGTGAAGCTGCCCGCGGCCTCTGCGGCACCGGTTCAATCCCTGGCTGCTCCCCGCCCACCGGAGGAGGGTCCCACATGGCGCGCAGACCTCTCCTGCCGCCCGCTGCTCCCCTCAGCAGTGTACTTCTGTCCTTCTGCCTGCTCTGCTCCCCTCTCTGGCTCTGGTGAATTCTCTCACCCTCCCGTGCTTCTGACTGTACCCAGTGCTTGTATAAATAAATAAATAAATCTTTAAAAAAAAAAAAAGACATTGTTGAAAGTAATAGAAGACACAAAGAAATGGAAAAATATTACCTGTTCATGAATTGGATAAATCAACATTGTCAAAATGATCATCCTACCCAAAGCAATATAGAGATCCAATGGAATCATAAAAACAAAAAAACATTGCCCTATGTTCTTTTTTTTTTTTTAAGATTTGTTTATTTTATACAAGAGCTGGGGTACAGGCCAGATGCATGGGAAGATGAGAGGATTCACCAGAGACAGAGGGGAGAACAGAACAAGCAGACTGATGAAATAACTGCTGAGGGGAGCAGCGGGCGAGACAGGAGAGGTCTGCTGCGCCATGTGGGACTCTCGCCGGCCGGCTGGGATTGAAACGGCACTGCAGAAGCTATGGACAGCTTCACAGCACGGTGCTCAACTGCCTGCGCCACCGGGGGAGGCCCATCGCCCTATGTTCTTGGTGCTAATTATGTGGCTTGTGGACCAGCAGGATAATCACCTGGAAACTTTTTAGAAAAGCAGACTGACACCATCCCAGCTGATCATTCTGACCAAGGGAATCAGAATCTGCACTTCAGCAAGCTCCCCATGCTCTCTTATGCATATGAAAGTGTGAGACGCTTCCACACTCTGTCCCCTGAGAGCATCTAGAAGCAGTCACATGAGAGCAGCAGGCCCTTACCTAGTACTTAGATCTTGAATTCTAAATATCTTTTTACACCACAAGGAACTGGACTCATTGGAGGAAGGGAAGGGAAAGTACAGGATAAGCCTAAAACATCGTATTGTCCAGAAAGCAAGGGAATGCTTGAAGAATGCTGGGGACATGGCAGGAAGACAGAGGGGCCAGAAAAGGAGCCCTCACTGGCCACATCCAAGATGGCTCTGATAGTGGTAGGTTATAAACCCATCAAATGAAATAAAAAACTTTTGAGTTCATCGAGTTATAAAGAAATAATTATTTAAAAATGAGGGAGAAGGAAAGACTTCATTGTAGAATACCAACAAGTAAGTATAGAAGGAAAGATGGAGCAAGATTCTTTGTGAGTGCTAAAACTAGGGACAGAGTATTTGATCAAATAACCCACAAATGACTTATTCGTTGCCAAAGGGAAAATAGTCAACTCATTTACTGTCTCCTTCCACTCGAAGGTGTCATTAGCATAGAGATTTTCCTGTCTTGATATACCCCCCATTTCAGTGGCCCCTTCAGTACCAAGGAGGCAGCTCAGGTGTATGTGTTAAAGCATGGAGATAAGGCTGAGTCTCATCCTACAGATGAGAAAACCATGCACCACCCAGCCTCCTTCCTAGCCCTGCTGCTGACGGTCTGGCTGTGTAAGAGCTACTGTTTCTTGAGCATCTATGATGGCCCAGACTTTATTTACAATTTCTCATTTCATACAGTGATCCTGCCACTCATTCATTTAGCGGATAGGAACTAAGCACCTGTCGTCTGCTAGGCACTAAGAAGTACTAATTGACAAAAGAACCTCGTGGAGCTTGCTGGGCTCGAAAGAGCTGGCTGAGAGAACCAAGACTTAGAAAGGTTGCCCAGCTTTGAAGTCACACAGCAAGCACGTGGACAGCTGGGAAGCTAACCAAAGCCCGCGCTCTCCCACCGCTGGTGACAAGCTGTCTCAAAGGAGGGAAGCTGCTGTGAGTTGGTCCACTCCTCAGGTGGCTCCCTCAGAGCTGTCACACCACCTGTGTCCCTTGACCTCGACACTAATCCTCATTGTGCCACTTTCCTCCGCGGAGAAACAGAACGTGCTCTATCTCAGCCATTTCTGATTCTGTTTTTGATTATGCCAGAGCCTCTCGGTCCCATTCACTTCAGATAAGCAAGAGGCTTTTCTGCTTCATTGGGTAAAGGTCAAGTTCAACCAGAGAAATAATCTAAGTTGGAGATGTGATCAAATAACCTTGCCAGAAAAATAACTGAAAAAGCAAAAACTAAGAAACAAAATAAAAACCCACTTCAAAAATGTTTAATGAAGAGACTGAGCATGAGGAATTAAAACAATGTAAGGGAGCAGGAAAACTTCCTAAAAAATGTTTAATCTTTCTTCAGCTCATTGATCCTTTCCCTCCTTGAAAGTGTTCTCTGCCAATTAATCATTCAACTTATTACCAGGCACCGTTTCCCTGTTTATAATTGTGAACCTCAAGAATCCCTCTGAAAGGACCACAGTAAATTTCCCTGGCTAGCAAGACAAATATTTATCTTAGAGGATCAATTGCTGTGCTGGGAGGTCTTAGATTCCTGGGATTTGGTGCATGCCTTCGCCCTTGCTTTGCTGGGTGACCTTCACTTCTCTGTAGCTGGGTTTCTAAATCTACTCAAGGAAAACAATGTTACTCCCGAGTTGAGTCCTGAAATTTCTCTGAATTCCCTGTTAGAAAGTAGAAGTGGGTATTTGGCCAAGAATATGATTTATCTATCCCTATAAATGCCTTTCCTCCTTCTGGAAGCTAGCTATTTATGTTTAGGATTGTAAATGCCTTCTCTGTGGGACTCTAGATTCCTATGGGAATGTCTACTGGGTGGGTGAATGAAAGAGACACATTAACAGAGTTTTGTTTTAGAGAAAAAAATGTCATAGCTCCATTTTTTTGTGGCCACAAAGTTCAGGGTTGGGGTAGGGGGCGGACAAGAAAACTGTGGTTCTTTGGAGCTTTTATTCACAGATGGCTTACCCATGAGAGAAGCGTTTTCGTTGCTTTTGAATGACATTTTTTTAAAGTGCAGCCACACAACTAATTGGCAACTGGGTGGATGATGAAAAATGACTCACCTTTGTGTCTCGTGAGCTCCCCACATTGGAGGTGAGAAGTTGCTGAATGAACCTCAGCAAAGGGTGGGGTAAAGAATATTGAAGAGGGGTTGAACTAAGGACCATTCCATTCTCCAATCCTGAGATTCAGGAGTTCTAGTCCCTTTCAATGTCATGCGACCTGAATACTGTACATGTGGTGAAGCTGTACATGGGGACAAAGGATGGTGACAGGTGAGATTGTGGGAAAATTTGAGATTCAAATCACACAAAGAAAGGATAACTTTATGTCTACTACAAAGCATGAAGCAGGATTAGGATTCCCCAGAGATAAGGGTAAGCAGGGTTGTGTGTACTTAAGGATGTAATGCTCAACAGGAAGAGTTGTGTGGGCCATGGACTCTCTAGCCCACTGAGATCCCCTCCCTTGTAGCTTTCAGCCATTAAAACCCCATCACTGATGAGAGACAGGAGGAGCCAGACCCAGAAAGGGTAAGCACAGGTGTAAAATTGGGGATTGCATCAGCTTTTAACCAGACACTTAATTTAAAGTAGCAACCATAATAAGGGGTCCAATTGTTGACCATTTACTATATGTAAATATGATTTGCCTCACTTACCTCTAAAATTCTCCAAAACGTGTGCCATATGTCTACTCCTCAAAGGAAAATCTTCTAGAGAGATAGAGTAACTTGTCTTGCATGACAGAGCCAGTAGTCAAACTCAAGTTCCATGTTCTTTCCATTGTGTCCGCAGTCATGCAATTCTGGGGTTCCATCAGGTAGATTACATGGGAACCAAGGTAGGAATCTTGGTTTAAAGGTAGGGATGCATCCTACTTTTCTGACAGAAAAGTTGAGCTCAGAAAGTGGAGGTGATATTGGATAAATTGAGGTTTACTGATTCAAATCTCTTCCTGGAGTCCCGTGAGGAATAGCTGTAGCTAGTAGCATGCCAAAACTGGGGGACTGATGGAATCCCTCAGGCTACAGAGGACAGCCCGAGTCAGACTCGGGAAGTGAGCAGCTCATGACCTTGAGGTAAGAGTGTGGCAGAACAGGCAAAGAGCCTGTCCCGTGCTGATTACCCAGAATGTGCTTTTGGAATTCCTTCAGGTAGAAATGGACTAGACCTGAACTGACTGCCTCCTAGATGCCTGTGGACCTGGCAGGGATGCCCTGCCCCAAGGCTGGGATGGAGGCATATCTATGACCTTGGAGGTTATCCAAGAGGCTAGAGCAATGGGAGCTAAACTTCTGATAGGGAAAATGGCTCCCAGTGTGACAATTGCATTTCAATCAGAAGGATCTCCTTTAGCATTTCTTGTAGGTTAAGTTTACTAGCAGTGAACTCTCTCAGTTTTAGGATATCTGGAAATGACTTCGTTTCTCTTTTATTTTTTGAAGGATAGTTACCTGGTTGATCATTTTTTTCTTTCAATATTTTGAATGTCATCTGACTACTTTTGACCTCTGATTTCTCATGATAAACTGTTTATATTTTCAAGGATGACTTGTGTTTGATGAGTCATTTCTCTCAGTGCTTTCAGGATTCTTCTTTTGGCTTTCAACAGTTTAATTATTATGTGTCTCAGTGAGAACCTTGAGGTCCATTGAGATCTTAGATGTGCATATTTATGTCTTGCATCAAACTTGGCATATTTTTTGGACCTTTGTTACTTCAAATATTCTTTCTGCTCCTTTCCCTTTCTGCTCTCATCTAGGACTCCCATTATGCAAATGTTGGTATGCCTGACGATCTCTTAGACTATTCACTTTTCTTTAAACCAAGATTCCCACCTTGGTTCCCCTGTCTAATGACAACCAGTTTGGGCAATAGGAGTAATTATAGTCTGGCCAGAACACAATGACCAGGGACGAAGGTGCGGTTACCCCACAGAGTGGCAAGAGTGTTGGACAAGAACGATTATTGTCTGGAATGAATATACTAATGATATGATCAACATCAATTGTGACCGTAGAGCCAGTTGGAGAAATGGGGCCTATCGCTTGTCTTGCAAACCATCTTTCTTGTCAAGTATGACAACCAGCCACCTAGAAGAATCAACATCAAGAGTGAGTTGACTTAACGTAGGGCAACAATGCCCACTTGCATTTCTAAAATGGTCTTGCCATTTTAGTGCAAGCTGGACTGTCTTTTATCTACCAGCACTTGCATCTCTACCTTTGAGGACTGGAGTCTTGTCTAACCACAATATGGCAGTCTAGAAATACCAGAGTATAAACACCCTACTTGAAAGTAGCCCTCAACCAATCCACCCTCGGGTAGGATATCACCCACGATAACAAAATGCACTGTATTCTACACTGGCTCAAGAGTTCCCGTGGACTAAAGCTCTAGTTCCTTACAGTGGTAATTGTTGTGATATCATATCATCTGCTTTATTGGCTCCTTCTCTCTCTGTCTCAGTTCCTACTGCCCAATAAGTGCTTCGTGGTGTGAAATAAACTACGTCACTCAAATCCTTGGCTCAAGGTCTACTTCTTGAAGAGCCCAAGCAAAGACATTCTATATCTGTATCCTTCCCTTGAGGAAGCTTAGTGTCTTTCTTCTGACTGTTTTCCTTCCCTTTCAAGCATAAAAACAGTGAGCACGTGGATATAATGGTTTCTTCATTCAGCTGACCATAGTGCTTGGAATGAAAAACAAAAAACAAAATCTTCTTTAGCACAGTCTATAGGACGTTCAAAAGCCAACTCCAATCTCTTTTAGGCCACCCCCCCACCCGCCGCCTCACTGGGCCAACCCCGCCAGCCTTCTTCTAGTTTGACAACATGCTATGTTCTGTCCCACTTCAAAGCCTTTGCACACACTCCTCCACCTGCACTCTTCTCACCATTTGTCCTTTGGTGAATTGTTAATCATCCTTCATATTTTAGCTTTTTTAAAACAATATTTATTTATGCATACAAGAACTGGGGTGCAGACCAGAGGTGCAGGGTGGGGGGTGAGAGGATTCACCAGAGACAGAATGGGGAGCAGAACAGGTGGATCTACTGAAATACACTGCTGAGGGGAGCAGCGGGCGAGTCAGAAGAGGTCTGTTGCACCATGTGGGTCACCTCCCTGACAGTGATGGAACTCATGCTGCAGTGGCTGCGGATTGCTTCATAGTGCTGATGCTTAACCCCTTGTGCCACCAGTGAGGCCCCCATATTTTAGCTTTAAAGCAACTTCCTCAGAGTGGCCTTCTGTAAACCCCCACTATTCTTTTTCAGAGGGCATTTTACTTTTTCATTTTCTCCTTATAGTAAGTTGTTTTGGTTTATATATTGTTGTAGTTATCTGAAAAATGTCTTTCTTTCAACTAAACCACAGAGAAGTACTGAATGACCCCTGAAGGTCCTCAGGGAAGGTGGATGGAGTAGTGAGACTCTAGGTGTTCAGGAGGAGGGAGGGAGCCAGGAGCACACAGGCCCTAGGGCCTGGCTTTCATTCCTAGTGACGGGCACATGGGGCTGCGGAGGGGCACCATCTTTAGGAATTTTAAGAGCTATCTTCTCTCTTGACCCCATAACCCCTCCAGCTAATGCCTCACTTCTCTGCTGCTCTTGAGAGCAAAGGTCCTTAGCCTCCTGTCTGCAGTTACCCTCCTTTCAATCTAAAAATCAGACTTTCACACCAATTACTTCACCAAAATTTTCCATCAAGGCCAACAGTGACATCCAAGTTGCTAAATCCTATGGTCAGTGGTCATTCCTCATTTTTCTTGACTAATCAGTAGCAGAAGACACAGCTGTCAGCTTCCTCCTCCTCAGAGCCCTCTCTCCCCTTTCAGAACTCCGGTTCCTCTGCTGGCGTCTTACTGCTTTGACCTCTGAATGTTGGGGAGGGGGGTGGTCCCAAGGTTCCAGCCTTGTTTTCCTCCTTTTCTCTGACCACACCCACCCACACCCTTGGTGATCTCTTCCTGTCTCATGTAGAGGCTTTGAATGCCTTTTGTTGGTTGACAATTCCCAAAGTGATGTCACTAACTTGGACCTCCTGCCTGGCTGGACTATATTTAGCGACCTGCTTGCCATCCACACTTGGATGATGTAGATATGTCAAACTTAACACGTCCCAAAACACACTCTTCACCTTCAAACCAATTCTCTGCTCACCCCACCCTGCTATTTTTCCCACCTCAGTAAATGACAACTCTGTCCACCTGTTGGAGCCAAAAATCTTGGGGTCCCCCTTGACTCCTCTGTCCATCCAATCCATCCTGCATTATGATAACTGGTCTCCCTGCTTTTGCCGTTGGCTTCCTACAGTCCTCTCTCAACCCTACAGCCTAGACAAGAGTTAAAAGATGAGTCCAGTTATGTCAGTTCTGGACTCAGAAAACTCCAGTGACTCCCATCTACTCAGAATATGTCCAGAGACCCAGCAAGGCTCTGTGTGACATGCCGCCAGCTCTCCCCTCACCTCCTGCCTGCCTTCTCCTCTCTCCCTTGGCTCCAGCCCCACTGGTTCCCCTGGTGTTCCTTTAACATACCCAACTCCTGCCTCAGGACCTTTGAATTATTTTTTACCTGCCTGCACTGCTTCCCACAGGTACCCCCAAGTCTTGCTCCTTCAGTTCTTCAGATTTCTTCTCAAATGCCAGTTTCTCTGTAGTACTGTCCTTGATCACCCTATTAGTAGCAACCAGTGTCCTCAGAATTTCTTGTACCTTTAAACTGTTTGATTTTTTTAAACATCTGTCACCATCTAACATTCTATACATTCAATCTTCCTTTTTCTCTATATTTCCTTTATTCTGTATCCTTAGTCATTTATTGTCCACCTCCTTGACTGGAATGTGAGTTCCTTGAACATGGGAGCTGTGTGTCTGCTTCACCTCTGTGGCCCCTGTGCCTGGAGTAGGGCCTGCTAATGGAAATCAAGGCTGAGCTCAAGAAGTGCTTACAGACTAAATGAGTCATGAATTCACCTTCATCCCCACCTGAACCTCAGGGATAGCATCTAGTAATTAGAGTTGTGAACTGGCATTCCTATGTTCCTCTGGTGGATTTTTTTTTTTTTTCAGCATTTGTTTTGTCATGAAAATATTGTATGATGTTTTTACTCTAATTGTGGGGAACATACATTCATGTATTTAATATTGAAAATTTTTTGGAAGACAACTGTGAAGTGTGTGTGTGTGCCACAATAGAGTCAGACATACCACCTTTGACTGAATGAACTTCAAAGAATTAGATTTTAAAAAACCAACATCAGGACCTCCCTGGTGGCACAAGGGGTTAAGACACAACCTATGATAACTTTAAGAAAGTGAAAATCAAAATCAACAAAAAACTATGAACCAGAGACACTTTTAGGGGGGCGGGGGCGGGAGGGGAGGGATTGGGGTCAGAATGGGGGGGCTGCAATTGTATGGGGAATATAACAATAAAATTTATTATTTAAAAAAAAAAAAAAAAAAGACACAACCTATGAAGCTGTCCGCAGCCTCTGCAGTATGAGTTCGATCCCTGGCCAGGGAGCTACCCACATGGCGCAGCAGGCCTCTCCGACTTGCCCGGTGCTCCCCTCAGCAGTGTACTTTGGTCAGTCTGCCTGTTCTGTTCCCCACTCTGTCTCCAGTGAATCACCTCATCCCCCACACCTCTGGCCTGTACCCCAGCTCTTGTATGCATAAATAAATAAATCTTTAAAAAAAAAAACCAACAGGGCCTCCCCGGTGGCGCAGTGGTTGAGCGCTAGGTTGCGAACCTGCCCGCAGCCTCGGCAGCGCCGGTTCAATCCCTGGCTGCTCCCCGGCCACCGGAGGAGGGTCCCACATGGCGCGCAGACCTCTCCTGCCGCCTGCTGCTCCCCTCAGCAGTGTACTTCGGTCCTTCTGCCTGCTCTGCTCCCCGCTCTGGCTCTGGTGAATTCTCTCACCCTCCCGCGCTTCTGACTGTGCCCAGTGCTTATATAAATAAATAAATAAATATTAAAAAAAAATAAAATAAAATAAACCCAACATCATCAGAACTAACCGATTTTCTGTTTGAATAGTGCCAGTGACAAAACTATCATATTTAATGTTCACTATGTTTTTCTAATGGAACGAATATTCTCACTTTTCATATGCATGCAAGAAAAACTGAGAATGAGTAAAATTATTTAAAAAAAATCATTTAATGTAAACAAAATTAATTAAACAAAATTTAATGTAGCTCATTCTTGAGCTAGGATTCTAAAATAGCTCCTCCTGACTCCCTGCTGACCTCTTTTAATGTTTTAAAGGTAAAAAAAAAAAGAAAACATCCACACCCTCAAGGTCTTGCAGTTCTTTCCCAAAACCAGATCCCACTTGCAGAGGGCAGAGGAGCTCTTTACTTTCTTCTGAGTCTGACACCATCTCCCTGTAGGACCTCAGCAAGTCCCACCCTCTTGCTGGGTCTCATTTCCCCTCTGTACCCTTCGCAGGCTCCTGGCTCTGGCGCTCTATGGTTTGCTTCCACCTGGGGAGATGGCCGTGACGCTGGTGTTTGACCTCACTAGGAAAACATGTCTGATAACAGACCCTGCTATCTCAGGAGCCTTCATCTTCACCTCCATCCCTTCACGTGAAACCCAATGACAGAGTTTCAGGGACTGCCTCCCTCATTGATAAAGTGTCCCGCAACTTCTCAATGAGCCCACCCACTGTGAGTGCCATGATAATGGGCTATATCTGGCTCACCGGGAAGCCTGCCCATGTTCCACACAGAGCCATGCTATCGGTTATCTGCTGAGCATGAATGACCAGAAGCAGAAAAAGCACAAGGCACTTAGGCTGGTGAGAAGTGGAAGTGATTCATTTATGTCGCGTGCTCCAGCACTGCTGGTCTCAGCAAGTGCCAGGCAGAATGTATGTTGACAGCCGCCTTGGAGCTCACACCACCGCGTCAGCACTGCAGGAAACAGATGACTTGGGGTGGCTCTCCAGCTTGTTGACAGCCCCGACTTTCTGATAAAGTTGTCAGAAAATGAAAAGGACAGTCCTGGGAAGTTGTGAGCTTCCTGTCCTTGGAGGTGTTCTGGCGGCAGTGGGGGAGTAACCAATGGACGGTATGTTGTAGAAGAGCTTGCAAGCACTGCCCTGTACAGTGTCAGTGAGCACCAGGGCCACTCAGGAAAACAGCGATGCCACACACACCCCTAAAATCAATAGGGCAGGACACTGCCCTCTTCTTCATGGTATCATTGCTACCGGGCACGGTACCTCTCCCCACTTCTGGGAGCTTGGGGCCAAGGCCTATCTCCCAGGCCCTTGTTAGGATCACAGAAGCAGTGAAACCAAGGTGAGATGGGAAAGTAAGCAAGGCCAGCCCTTAGGAGCCCTTAGGAGGAGAACCAGAACCCAAGCAGCAGCTAGAACCCAAATCTAGAGATACTCAGAAAGGAGGGACTCGTGGAGGGAGACAAAAGTCACAATAGGGGAGAGGAAGTAAAGCAAAAACAAGACAAGATCAAATAGGATCCGAGGACAGAGACACTAAAGCCACTTTTATAAGCCTGACAGGGCGTGATGCCTGACTTTAAAAATGCCCAGAAGTGGGTGCACTTGTATCTTGCTGACAACGCTGCCCCTATACAGCATCAGTGAGCACCAGGACTGATTCAGAGAAATAGCAATGTCCCCCACAGACAAACTTATCCTGAAATGAAAGTACCTTTGTTATCTCCCACTTAAAAAAAAATGTGTATTCTCTTCAATTACCTACTATGAGCAACATCAATTAGAGCATCAGCACTACTTATAGCCACCTTGACATTACACTCTAGGCCCATCTGAGAAGCCATAAAGTGGCTGATTTCTAATCCTTCATCTCTATACAGTGCAAGCAATTAGGCTTCATCAGACCCACGGGACTGTGCGCGGCTCATCTTTGCTGCAGAATTGCATGTAGTCGAACTGCAGCAGGAGAGAAAGCAATACAAACTATTGATATATGGCTGCAGAAGGAGTTCACAACTCCACGGCTACCCACTGGGCTGATTTATTCTCTGCCCAGCTCTATCCCCCATCAGTTTTGCTTCGATCTGCATATCTTTTGCAGTCTGACCAGAAAGATCACTGAAAGCTTCACCACCCACCCCTCACCAAGTGCACACAAAAGCTTGAGCCCTGCTAGGCTGAGTCTGACCATATCATGTTCTCTCTTTCTGCTCAGAGCATGCCACAGGAGAGAGCCTGACCTGGGTGGGGTGATTTGAGGAAACTGGATGACTTCCCAGCCTCTCATGAGTCAGGTGTTCATAGCCTCTTTCTTTTGTTTGAAGTGAATTCCTGGAACATAACCCATTTTCTGATATCAATGCAAAAACACCTCCAACGCCAAGTGGTATGTCCTTTGGGGTCACATCAACGCCCCCCCCCCCCAGACAGTCTGCTCTTCAGGATAAGAGCTATGGGCTGGGAGAGGCAGGCAGAAATCCATTTTGCAAGGCCTCTTGGGCAATGGTAAGTTTGGATTTTATTTTAAGAGCACTGGAACGTTTTAGGGAGTTTAATGCAGAGACAGGCCATGATCGGATGTTCATTTTTAAAAGATATCTCTGTCAGCAGGGTGGCTAATGCAGTGGGAGGACTGAGATGATGAGGGAGATGGCTTAGGAGCCCACTGAAATGTCTACTCATTGATTCATTCCTTGGCCAGATACATGCTGTACTTGACTCTGTGGACATGAGGCTCTCAGGTAAGGTTCTCCACCCTCTGGAGCTAATAGGGGAGAAGAACAGTCGAAAAATAAACAAGAAGATCATTTCAAACTGTGACAAGTGCTGTGCAGAAAATAAAGCAGGGTGTTATGGTTAAGAGGGACCAGGGAGGCAGGCCATGGTCACTTTAGAGGGTTGACGGGATGACCTTTCTGAGGAAGTGACAATTGTACTGAGACCTAAAGAGTAGGAATGAGTG